AATCAAAAAATTATAATAATACTATATTTTATATAAGTAGTATTCAAGGATGGATATATATTATTTATATTAGGGTGGGCGGTATTTGGGACCAAAACTTCTGCTGTCTTTTGCTATTAACAGAGCTGCGGGTGTCTGGTTGCAACCTCCTGCAAATACTTCGCCAGTATTTTTATTATTATTTGTTTACCTTTTTTTTTTATTTAACAGTCAAATAGATGTATAATTTGAGACAATGTATAATTAAGATGTAGGATATAATTAAATTTATTTAAAATTTTAATTTCTTTTATATACTTTTTCAATTATGGCAAAAATTGAAAAATTTAATACTTGTAAATAATACTATATTTTATGTAGCTAGTATTAAAATAAAATTTAAGTATTAATATATATTATTTATAATAGGGAGAGCGGTATTGGGGACCCAAAGCTTCTGTAATCTTTTGCTATTAACGGAGCTGCGAGTGACTGGTACCAACCTCCTGCAAGAACTTCGCCAGTATTTTTATTATCATTTGTTTACCTTTTTTTTTTTATTTAACAGTCGTGGTTTATCGGCCTTCATGATAAGGTTGTTTTATTTTATCAACCTGTCATGATGGCCGTGTCAACCACTTTTTATACATCTGCTAGATCTTCAAATCTTCTCAGGTGAAGTAATATTTTGGGGGTGGTCAAATACGAGCATTAAAGTGTGTTTTTAAAAAATAGGATTTTGATGAAGAAATATTTATTACCACTATTAAATACTTGGATTTATTAAAGGGCAATAGTGATAAATTATGAGAATTCAAATAGACAGATAGGTGGAGGGACAAACCTGTTGTGTTTTTAAATTTTTTAGCAATCCATAGAGTACATATACAGAAATTTGTGGTTTTATCGGCCTTCATGATAAGGTTGTTTTTATTTTATCAACCTGTCATGATGCCCGTGTCATCCACTTTCTATACACCTGCTAAATATTCGATTCTTATCAAGTGACTTTTTTAGGAAGTCATTTTTGTTTCTGAATTTTTAACTTTGTAACTACAACACTTGTAGCAGTTATTAAATATATCATCAATGAATAACTCACATATTCAGAAATTTGTGGTTTTCACAGGGACTATGTCTAGGTTGTTTTGTTTTTTATCAACCTGACATGGTTCATGTGGCACCCACTTTCTGTGAAACCTTCGGGATCAACCAACTTCTCAAAAAAAGCGTTGGGCTCATTTTTCGTTCGTCACCCATTACGAGCACCAATTTGTATGGATGTGTATACATTTATATATTTCTATTATATATAATAATACTTGTAAATAACTATGAATATGTTTTTGTTTTTTTATCTAATGTTGTCTCATGTTTGATTTATTCTGTTATTCCAAGTTTTATTTTATTTTATTTTGTTATAATCTTGTTTTTCTTTTATTGTATATATGATATGTTTGTGTTTCATTCATTCTAAATGCTCAATACCCTTAATTGATTCAAATGTATTTTTTCTTAATAAAATATTATTAATAAAATTATATATAATACTAAATAACGGGACAAAAATGAAGGGGATAGTGGTGGCTGTCTCCTGAGGAATCGGTTTCGTTTTGTTACATATCAGAATTCGTGTTTTACTCTGCAGCCACGGCAGTGTCGTTGTTATTTATATCAAACTGTCATGGTTGACGAGTCAACTACTTTCTGTGCACCTGCTGGACCATTGAAATCTTTTCAACAGGCCATTTATGGATAATTTGTAGGAAGTTGATCAACTAATAGCAGTAATGGGTGTTATTTAAAATAACAATTTTGCAGAGTACACCTTTATTATTTGCAAAACTTTAAAAATAAATAAAATTGCTATTTTTTAAAATTATTTACATGCAAACGTTAGGAGGATTTATTTTGTAACTTACAAATACAGATTAAATTCTATAGCAAAGATTGGTGTTCAAAACAAAGTTCCATAATTAATTTAGATGATAATCATTACAAATATCATTATATTCAACATATAAACTTTGTAATTGAGTAACCCAAAGCTTCTGTTAGTTTTTAGCTATTAACAGATTTGCGGGTGACTCATACCAACCTCGTGTAAGAAGCAGATGGAATCTTCTTGGAAGTATGATTCCTGGTGGAAGGATTCCTTGATTAACTAACGATGACTAGACATCGTTCAGATGAGAAGGGTGGTGATAGTGACCCAAGGATCATGTTTTGTTTTGGTAATAACATGACCAAAGGTTACTATCATCAACCTCATGCAGAAACTCCGTTTTTTTTTTAAACGTAAAAGTAGACATGTAAATGTAGAGAATATTATGTTAAATGATAGTTAAGCCCATCCTGAAATATATATTTTATATGTATTTTTTATATGTACTCTTAATCCTCTGGTTAAGATTTTCTTAGGTTAGTTTAGATTAGTCTTTATTAATAGATTTTTTTCTCTAGTTAAAAAAAAAAGGTGTAAGAACGTTCCATTTAAAGAAACATTGATTTTTCTTAGGATGGAGGTTTATTTTACGAATCCATACTCTAGCAATGTGTGTGAAATAACTTCCTGTAGAAAGTCCGAATAAGGACCTTCTTTTATTCTGTCCATTCTCTGTGAACGACACGGGCGTAGATTTCGGGAGAGTGAGGACGAAGTGGACGTTCGCTATTAAAAAGGGCGAGATACACCCCCTCCCCCACAATAATTCGTTAACAAATAATAAATAATTTTGCTGTCGGTGACTGTTACTAACCTCCTCTAAGAACTTTTTCAGTATTATTGCCATTATTCGTTTATCAATTTTTAAAAATTTTATTTAACAGTCAAATAGATGTATAATTTGAGACAATGTATAATTTAGAGGTAGGATATAATTAACTTTATTTAACAGTTTGAATGTTTTATATACATTTTTTATTATGCCACAAACTGAGAAAATCAAAAATTTATAATAATACTATATTTTATATAGGTATTATTTAAGTATGGTTATATATTATTTATAATAGGGTGGGTGGTATGAGGGACCCAAAGCTTGTGTTATTTTTTGCTATTAACAGAGCTGCGGGTTTCTGGTACCAACCTCCTTTAAGAACTTCGCCAGTATTTTTATTATTATTTGTTTACCATTTTTTTTTTATTTAACAGTCAAATAAATGTATAATTTGAGACAATGTATAATTTAGAGGTAGGATATAATTAAATTGATTTTATTCTTTGAATGTCTTTATATACATTTTTAGTATGCCAAAAACTAAAAAAAATAAGACTTTAAAATAATACTATATTATATGAGTAGTATTTTATTATGGATGTATAGATTATTTACAATAGGGAGAGTGGCATTTGGGACCCAAAACTTCTTTATAGTTAGAGCTATTAACACATCTGTAAGTGTCTGGTACCAACCTCCTGCAAGAACTTCCCCAGTATTCTTTTTATTATTTGTTTATCATTTCTTTTTTGTTATTTAACAGTCAAATAGATTTAGAATTAGTAACAATGTATATTTTAGAGGCGGGATATAATTACGTTTATTTAATATTTTATCTTATATTAATGTGTTTAATCAAGGTAACATTTGAAAAATTCAAGACTTTAAAATAATAGTATATTTAATATATTTAGTATTTAAGTATGGATATATATAATTTATAATAGATTTTAATATTCAGATATAAGATTAATATTATTATTTTAATTTTAGCAATAACAATATTAAATTTTATATAGAGTATTATTAAAAGAAGACCTTAATATTAAGCTGTTGTTAGAATAAAAAAAAAATACGGTTGTGATAATCAGGTGTACCTTGAGTAGCTTATACCTATATAAACAACCAATAACAAATTTCAATTTACTAAATTTTTCAGATTTTATATCTGTTAAGTACGGAAATTGAAATACAAAAAATGATAAATTATAATAGATATGATTTGTTGTTAGCTGTAATGTTATAGGTAATATATCAAATAACAGTAATATATTCCATTAATTATATTATTGGAAATTCCGATAGAACAAGGATATTTAAATTTATATTGCATCAGCATAGATTGTTGTTAATAGTTAATCGTGTAAAAACGTTCTATTTAAAGAAACATTGATTTTTCTGAGGATGGAGGTTTATTTTACGATTTTTTTAAATTTAATTAGTTTTTAATTTTATTTAATAGTAAAATAGATTTATAATTTGAGACAATGTATAATTTAGAGTTAGATATAATTAACTTTATTTAATATTTTGAATGTTTTTATATACATTCTTAATCATGCAAAAAACTGAAATAGGTTTATAGTCTAATAGGGAGATAGGTATCAGGAACCCAAAGCTTCTGCTATCTTTTGCTATTAACTGTGTCTGGTACCAACCTCCTGCAAGAACTTCGCCAGTATTATTTCTATAATTCGTTTATCAGTATTGTTTTTGAAATTTTATTTAGTAGTCAAATACATGTATAATTTAGAGGTAGAATGTAATTGACTTCATTTAAAATTTGAATAATTTTTAAGTACATTTTTAATTATTCCAAAACTCGAAAAATTCAAAACTTATAAATAATACAATATTTTATATAGGTAGTATTTAATTATGGATATATATTATTTACAATAGGGAGAGTGGTCAGAGTGACCCAAAGCTTCTGTTATCTTTTGCTATTAACAGAGCTGCGGGTGACTCATACCAACCTCCTGTAAGAAGCAGATGGAATCTTCCTGGCAGTAAGATGAAAGGATTCTTTGTTTCCCGACAAGACATCGTTCAGATGAGAAGAGTGGTGTTAGTAACCCGAGGATCATGTTTTGTTTTGGTAATAACAAATCCAAAGGTTACTTTCATCAACGTCATGCAAGATTTTCGCCAGTATTGTTATTATTATCTTTTTATCAGTTTTTTTTTTATGTAACAGTCAAACAGATGTATAATTTAATACAATGTATAATTTAGAGTTAGAATATCATTAAATTTATTTAATTATGTTAGTTTTATTATTATATAATTTTATAATGTCTAATGAATATGAAATCATGGATACCACATACGCCGGACGAAATGGACGGAGATAGAAAGCATCAAGTTGGATTGGGGTCGAGTACATTTTGCCAGTTAAGCATTTGTCGTGTTCTTACCTCGCATTATGTACTCGATTCCTTTCCAAAAATTAACCCTCCTCTTCATCCTCATTTCAAAAACACCAAGAAATTATGTGGATTGTGAAACTGGGTATGTATATCTACTTTAAACATGTTACTTATGTCTAAACTATAGTTTTTAAATGAATTTAAATTGTTTATTTTTATTAACTTGTGGAGATAAACGGCATTATATTATAGTTATTAAATCTCTCAATCTGTTGCTGTAGATCATTTATTGAAATCATTCTTTTTTCCACCTATCATTTTTAGTGAAGAGCTACGAGCTATTATGTTATTTAATAATTAATTAAAATAAAATTTAATTATGGACATAGATTTTTTTTTATTTATTGTTAGCTGTAATGTTGTATGTAATATAGGAAATAAAAGTAATGTATTCTAATTATTATTGTACTGGAAATTCCTACAAAACACAGATGTTGAGACACTATAATTTAGAGGTTGAATATAATTAAATTTATTTAATATTCTGAATTGTTTTATATACATATTCAATTATGCCAAAAACCGAAAAATTCAAATCTTATAAATAATACTATATTGTATATAAGTATGGATATATATTATTTATTTAATATTTTGATTTTTTTACATACATTTTTTGATTCATCGATATCAATTTTTAGTGAAGAGCTACGAGCTATTATTATCCAATGAATATGAAATCATGGATTCCACATACGCCGGTCTAAATGGGCAGAGATAGAAAGCATCAAGTTTTATTGGGGTCGAGTACATTTTGCCAGTTAAGCATTTGTCGCCTGCTTACCTCGGATTATGTACTCGATTCCTTTCCAACAATCAACCCTAATCTTCATCCTCAGTTCGAAGGGATGGTGTGGATTATGAATCTGGGAATGAATGTCTACATTAAAACCTTAATTAAGTCAAAACTGTAGTTTTTAAATGAATTCAGTTTTTTTTTTTTCAACAGATGGAGATAAACTATATCATGTTATAGCTATTAAATCTCTATCAACACTAGATAATATGGTATCGAATTTAAGAAGATTCGTCAAATTGAAGTGGAATATTGAGACAGTGTATAATTCAGTTTTTGGGATTGTTTAAAATATTTTAAAAGTGGTTTTCTGTTATAAATACGATGGATATAATTCTTTTTTCTTGTCTGTATATTTTGGAGGTGGTATTTTAGAGTTGTGACAGAAAGTATTGTTTTTGAGAGGAATCATTTCCTATATAGAATTCCAAAATAATGATTTTCCTTAGTTTAATTTTCGTACAGAATATCCCAATATCTAACAAGGACCTGATTGGTTATGATATTTCCACAGCCCTGTAAAGCAAGCGATATTGCTCTGGCGATTTTCTAGACCTAGAAAATATTTTAATAGTGCATGGTAATATAACTTAATAAAGAACATAGACAGAAATTTGTGATTTTTGCAGCAGCCTTGTCTGACTTGTTTATGTTATCAAATAGACATGGTTGCTGTGACAACCACTCTCTGTAAAACCTTCTGGATCAACCAATCATCCCGAGGAGAACATGGAGATCATTCTTTAGGAGTTGAACCACTACGATCATCAATTTGTATGTGTGTGTATATATTATTACACTTTTATTATATACAATAACGAAATGTAGAAAAGATGATTTCAAATAATAATCATCAAACGTTAGAATTTGATTTAATAATTACATAACTCTGAATCGGTTATTTTTGTGTATTATTTATTACTATACATATTTTTAATTTTATAGTTATCTATTTTTATTTTTCCTTTTCTATTTACATAGTTATCTAATACCTACGTTTACTGTTTTGAATTTAATTTAATTAACAATTTTTTTTAACGTTCACTTCTATTTTGTATATATGATATGAATGAATACTTATGATGAATCCTTATTCATTTATTGTATTGTATGAATACTTGTATTATATAATACTTGCAATTTGACAGATTGTATTATTATTCAATGTGACAGATTGTATTCTTATTCTATTATACTGTAAAAAAAAAAAAGAAGGAAAACACTTAGCGACCAAAGTAGTTTTATAAAAAGTTGATATAACGAGGATTAGAACTTTTATTATCAAATTATAAAATATATATTTTTAGAATATATTGCTCTTAAATTATAGTTCTTTCTATTTTTTATTTTAATGTAAATACTATGGAAGCTGTAAAAAATGGAAGCAACTTTTTACCAATCCATACATTATATATGTATATATATACAGAAATTCGTGGTTTACTCGGCAGTTAGGACCAGTTTGTTTGTTTTTTATTAAATGGCACTGGTTGACCAGTCAACCACTTTCTGTGCACCTGCTGGACCATCGAATCTTTACAACGTTTTCTCAGAAAATTAAAATATACCTGCTAATTGCTTGAGATATTCACCGAAAACTTTATTAGGTTTAGGAACATTTCTTTAGCCATCTATAAATATTAGAGATGAATTTCTGTAATAATGATCTGGATCCAAAACAATGCTTTATTATTTCTTTAGATGATGAAGTTTAATTTTAACATTATATTTTTTTTAATAAAACATGTATTAGATTTAGTTTATTATTTAATTATAAAATGATTATTTATTAAAATTATTTTATAATAATAAAACTATTTCAAATAGAAAAATGAATGATGTTTCTAGAAAAATTTATAGAATTTCTCATTTATTCATTGTCATATAAATATTAGACTAATAAATTTAGAATTATTTAGAGGGAATGAATTATATTTTTGATTGCTGTCCATCATGTGATTATTTGATAGTATGAATTGTAAAATACACATATGAATGTTAATGATTTTCTTTCCTTTTTTAGAAAATTTATTTTGTTTCTGATTTTTTAACTTTAGAACTACAACACTTGTAGAAGTTATTAAATATATCATCAATGAATAACTCACATATTCAGAAATTTGTGGTTTTTGCATCAGCCATGTCTAGGTTGTTTATGCTTTCGACTAGACATGGTTGTTGTGTCAACCACTTTCTGTGAAACCTTGGGGATCAACCAGTCTTCTCAAGAAAAGCGTTGAGCTCATTTTTCGTTTGTCACCAATTACGAGCACCAATTTGTATGGATGTGTATACATTTATATATTTCTATTTTATATAATAATACTTGTAAATAAGTATGAATATGTTTTTTTTTTAATCTAATGTTGTCTCATGTTTGATTTATTCTAATTAATGGGACAAAAATGTGGGGGATAGTGGTGATTGAAATCTTGAAATCTTTCAACTGGCCCATTTATGGATAATTTGTCGGGAGTTGATCAACTAATAGCAATAATGGGTGTTATTTAAAATAAGAGTTTTGCAGAACACACCTTTATTTTTTGTAAACGTTTAAAATAAATAAACTTGCTATTCATTTGTATTATTGACATGTAAACGTTAATAGGATTACGAAAATTTATTTTATCAATTACAAATACAGATTAAATTCTATAACAAAGATTGGGGTTCAAAACAAAGTTCCATATTTACTTTAGATTAAAATCATTTCAAATATCATTATATTTAACATAATAACTTTTTAATTATAAAGTGTATTTATGTCATTATCTATATTTTAATACTACCTAGGTGTTGTGGAAAAAAGTAAATTAAAGCTTTGCAATAATTAATAGTAATCTATTTTCCTCTCAACACGGGAACATTTTCTCGATTTATTCGTTTCTGTTGTATATTTTACTTGTATATCTTTATAATATTTTACTCGTTTATATCATTAGCTATTAATTGTTATCATATTATATAATAACTTGAATGGAAATCTTAAAATCTTCTGTCTATAGAGAAACAATATTGAGACAGAAGCGAAAGGAACACAGGCCTGAAGTTTTGTTTTGATAATAACAGACCCGAAGGTGACTGTTAATGAACTTCTGCAATATTTTCTCTTTTAATAACATATTCTTGATTCTGAAATTTCGCTTTTGTAACTACAACAAGTGTATCAGTTTGTTTGATTTAGCATCAACAAATAACCTACATATTCAGAAATTCGTGGTTTTCAGAGGGACTAAGACTAGGTTGTTTTATTTTCATCAACCTGGCATGGTTCCTGTGAAAATCACTTTCCGTAAAACCTGCTAGAACAACCAATCATCTCGAAGAGACCATTGATTTTTTTTTTATGGAAGTTTAACCACTACAAATTGGCGTAGGGAGGTGGCGGCCCCATCGCCCGGTAATTATACCGCAATCAGCCACTGGCCCTCCAGGTTGGGGGAACAGTACACTGACACTCATACAGTACACTAAAACAGTACACTGGGCATAAGATCATTAACAGTACACACCCTAGGGTTATCTTCCCTAGGTAGCCGCCCCGGACGGGGGAACAAGTCAGGATGATCTGAGGAGGCAGCCCCTTCACTGACTCGGGGACAGAGGGCCAACAACCCACTTCCCTTAAATATCTCATGTTACGAATCACTTCAGAAAAAGACCATTGAGTTTTTTTTTTGGAAGTTTAGCTACCATAAATCTCAATGTTTATAATGTTAAATGTTGAGACCAAAATGAAGGAAACAGTGATTGGCGACAGCCTCCGAAGGAATCTTTTTTGTTCTGCAGATTCGATGGTGACTGTCACCAAACTCCAAAAATAAATTTTCCAGCCTCATAAGTATTTATCTTAATTAATTAATATATAATACTATAGATGGCATAGTATAATATAATATAGTATATTCTAATATTAATAAAATACAATATAACATAATATAATCTATAGTATTATGCTATAAATAGTATTCTGGAATCACTATAACCAATGTCTCTGCAATGTACTAGATCAACCAACCTTCCCGAGGAAATAAATTGTGCCTATTTTTTATGTCGAGTATCTATTTGTACGTATTTTTATATACATATTGTTTTGTAATTTTTTTTTCTATATAAATCATCCTTTATATAACTGACTTCCCTCTTCTAAATATCCCACTGTCATCCTTTTCCTAATTAGAGGCTAACTATCAACAAATTGACATCCATTAGGCTAACAAACCTATTTTCGATTCTCTTAAAAATCCATGAAATACTGTTTTTGAACGAATACTTTCCTACAGAATCCTAATATGTTCATTTTCCTTAGTTTAATTTTCGTACAGAATATTCCAATATCTAACAAGGACCTGATTGGTTATGATATTTCCACAGCCCTGTAAAGCAAGCAATATTGCTCTGGCGATTTTCTATACCTAGAACAATATTTTAATTGTGCATGGTAATATAACTTAATCTGTAAAACCTTCTGGATCAACCAATCATCCCGAGGAGAACATGAGCTCATTTTTTGGGAGTTGAACCACTACGAGCATCAAATTGTATGTGTGTGTATATATTATTATACTTTTATTATATACAATAACGAAATGTAGAAAAGATGATTTCTTTAAATAATCATCAAATGTTATAATTTGATTCAATAATTAAATAACTTCGAATCGGATACTTTTAAGTATTATTTATTATTGTACTTATTTTTAATTTAATAGTTATCTATATTTATTATACCTTTTCTATTTACATAGTTATTCAATGCCTACGTTTATTGTTTTGAATTTAATTTAATTAACAATTTCTTTAACTTTTTACGTAATTTATTTTTTCATGTTCATTTGTAATTTTCAATCTACTCATTATATATATACAGAAACTCGTGGTTTACTCGGCAGCTAGGACCGGTTTGTTTCTGTTTTATCAAATGGACTGGTTGACGAGTCAACCACTTTCTGTGCACCTGCTGGACCATCGAATCTTTACAACGTTTCCTCAAAAAATGAAAATATACCTGCTAATTGCTTGAATAATTTACCGAAAACTTTATTAAGTTTAGGAACATTTCTTTAGC